CCCATTTGAACATTTGAAACACTGAATATGAAACAAGTAGAATCATGAACAGTCGTCATTCAACCATCACCATCAAGCAGAAATGGCGGCGGGATTGGAGAGCACCTCGCAGTATTGATCGGGGCATTTGTGATTTCTGCGGTCCGTCGCGCGATTTGCGCGACGAATCGCTGACTCTGACATCAGCCTCAAGTGGCTCGTGTCAGCCACAGCACCTTGAAATAGCTACACTTCCCTGGCTTCCGGATTCCTCGTTTCCTCTAAAGGGTACAGGCATGCTGCGCGCCGCGACAGCGACTGCCTCCCCCAACTACTTTAGCACCCCCGTTTGTAGCCTCTCATTTTTCCTTACTGTTACCTCAGTAACCACCATTTTCTGCGTTGCAGATCGAATTTCCGCAGCAACAACCTGATGCACCGGAAGCTAGTATATATGCAGTCTATGCCTCTTCAGGAGACTGCGATGGAAAGACTTATGGCCATGTTGGAACCTTGGGAAGGTATCCATTCAAGCTTTATTCATAAGGAGTATTGTATACAGATTTTCGCAGAATAGCACACGTTCGAGCTTTGGGGGGCGTCGTTGCCTTCTACTGCCGAGCAAGAGTCTTATGAGCGTCAGTCGAAGCTCAATTTCACCGAAACAAAACTAAAGATGCCGCCCTTCCAAGCGAATAAGTCGAAGACCTACTGTTGGTATTCCGTCAGGCCAGTCCGCTACTAAGGACACCGATCTGTTGGCTACTATTCTTGAACTACAGCAGTCTACCTATTCTGCTCCCGAAGGACGATCTTATCGTCCACGTCAACATCCAGCCCTTATTCAATCGGGAAGCAAGTCCCCACTACGTCGCCCCTATCGCGACATGACTCCCATGGAACTTATTTCTGAGCTCGCTAAGGGCAACTTCAATTCTGATTCTGCTTCCTACGAGGACGATGACGCTTCTGAAGATCATAGCGTCCCTCCATCTCAACGTCTCTCATTACGAATCGCGCAGTCGTTAACGCTCGCTGCCAATTACGATCACACGTTCAGTGTTGAGCAGCTAGCAGCTCGCGATTTCGTCATGATTGACGCATTCCTTCGTCACAACATCTACGATGGATTCCGAGATGCTATCGCAGAAGCCGCATATACTCCTACACCAGCGGATCTGAATTATCCGCCTGTGAAGAAATTCCCTATCTATCTACTCGTACAGGCCTACAAAGCCCTTCATACGGCCACTCAGAAATCCAAGTCCCTAATCACGGATCTATCTACGCACTCGGAATATTGGAAATCTGAGGAGAAGCTAGCCGAACTATATGAAGATCTACTTGCACTCCTCTACAATATTCAGACCCATCGTAACACCCTGTCTGATCTGATTATTCCGCACGTGCTGAACCCGATCGAGGACAACAAGGAATTCGTTGATATTCTGGCTCACTACAACATCACTATTAACTACATTAAGCTGATCTGCGCAACTGCTACAGCAGAGACAGCTACCGGATTCCTTACGCTGAAGAAGATCAATTCGGCTATTGCTCGACTCCACAACATCACGCTCGAGTCGTCACTACCAGCTGAGTCAATTGACCTCAACGATATTCCGACTATCGAGGACATGCACGCAGTTACTGGAGGTCCTATTCCTATCTCACCCTACCCCACTGGAGCCCGAGACGAAGTCTATTCCTAAATCTGCTCCAGCTACTGCCTCCACGGAACTGCATATTCGGTCATCTACCTCCGTTACGACTACTGCGCACTCATCTACTCCACAACAGGTAACCGTTTCGGTTGCGCCTAACGATTCACTGTCTGCCTCAGTATGCTCTTCTTCTCAGGACCGTGGATCCACCAGGACAGTTCGCACAGTACGCGCAGTTGCAGTTAGCCGTTCACCGTCAGCGCATTCGGACAAGCGCAAGCAGAAGCCAGCGAAGAAGTCACCATCTCCTAGCTCTTCGCGCAAGCAGTCGCAAGAAAAGCAGCCTACTCCCGATCTGGTCTGTCACTTCTGCAAGGCCACCGGCGCACACTTCAGCGCAGGCTGCTCCTAACGACATCAAGCAGTCTGTCGATGCTGGCATCATCCGCAGCAGTCCTGATGGCAAATGTCTGTATTGTCTGAAAGCGCACTCGCCCGGATACTGCAAACGGGATATTCCGTGTCGTCTCTGCGATTCTACTGAACACCATCCGGCACTGTGCCCCTACAGTCACTACATAGTTCGCGACATCGGTCCCGATGTGGAAGTTCTGTCTCACTATTACGCTGGAGCTACGAACTACTTATCCTGTCCCCATCGCCATCATTAAAGACGCATAAAGAAGACGCAAGGTTAGCAGCAGTTTACGTTTTTCGCATCGTTTCTACCTTCATGGACGTTTGGTTCGATTGGACTGATAGGACGATAGGACGTTTAGACGCTTGGACGCTTAGACGTTTGGTTCGTTTGGTTCGATAGGACGTTTCGACGATAGATGTTTGGTCTCCAGTTTGGATGTTCGGTTCAAGTTGGTCTCCACGACATCATCGTGCAGCGCAGTCGTTGTCGACGTTCAGAAGGTTGGATCTCAGTTACCTATTGTGTAGTAGTTTTTCATTGTTTATTAGTTTTGTATATAGTTTTGTCTGTAGCCTTTTGTATATTTACTCCCATTTTGTGAAGTTCTTGCTTTATTGCCACTTTTTGTTGTAATGGTTTTTTGAGTGCCCTTAAGGCCTCACTATGCTCGATGTCACTTGAAGCTTTACACATTGTCATCATCATTATCACATTATCTTGCCATATTTTACCCTTGCCATTTCATAGTATATAAATGTCTGTCTGTTTTTGTCATGCCATAGATCGACGGGTTGCGGGTACCCCCCTACTACCTCAATTTTTCCTTCGTCGCAGTCGCTAAACGGCATCCGGCGCATCTCCTTCCGCCGCCCGGAGTGTCGTGACTTGCGTACGACCTGGGTTTACGATATGCGCCGGGATGAAACCGCGCTCCATTCGAAGTCGCATGCGGTCTTACCGCGAAGTATGGAAAGCACTGGAAGCGCGGGAAAAGCCAGTCACGCGCGCAGTCGGTCGGTTCAAGTCAGTGTCGTCAGTGCTGTCGTCAATGCCGGTTCGTCTATGAAGTCCGTCGGCTGGACCCTTCAAGCGCAGTTGGTCCTGCTCGTCTCGTCTACGCCGGAGAGCCATCTGCCCGGCCTAAGTCGGTGGACCAGCGCAGTCGTCCTGACCCTAACCCTTGGGCTCCTCACACGCAACATGTCGATCGTGGTACCTCTCTTCTATATTCTTCTTCTTGTCAGGTATGCTTAATATTCTTATGTATCGTAGTTTTCCTATCCCCTTAGTCAATGCTTTATTGTCAATGTGGCGTAAGTCATAAACCGGTCTCAATAACCCGTGTAGTTTCTGTGTATAGTACGTAGTGGTTAATAACCTTTATTACCTTATAGTCGTAGTACAATATTATAGCGTATAACCGTAGGCTCACAGGGGTAAGGCCTAATCGCCCGTGGCAAGGCTACAGCATTCAGCGCGACAGGTAGACCCCGCGAGGGTGTGTGGGCACCGACAACTCCCACGTTTTGCCGTGGTCCGGGTGCACGCACCGCCGCCGATGCATTCTTCCAGCTTAGCGCCTGTCACCAAAAACACATCTGGTGGTATATAACTCCTTACAAATGGCCACTTCGACCTGGTATCCTCCCCTAGTTAGACATCGCATTTTGCGAAGAAACGAGGAGAGGGATCTACTTAAGATTTGGAAATGTTTTCACTCAATTCAGAAAATTTTTGGGAATAGTACGATCCCTCAGGGGACGGCTCAGGTTTCCACAATTTGCTCTACCGACGCTGGTTGTTCCGGAAGCTTATATCCATCGTTAATGCAGTCTCGCTGTCGATTTTCCAATTTCCGAAGAATGGCCAAGTCAATAAGCGCAATGTTTTCGAAGCGACGAACCGAAAATGAATCTAAGCAATGTACTGAAAATCGTTTGAAAGAACCCCATATAAAAAAAACACGTGCGTAATTCCCTACTCCTGTGATTAGTGTTCACAAGCAACGAAGACAACTTTTTTCAACAAAAGATTCACTGAGCTTCAGTCGACTGAAACAAAACATAAAGGATAGCATCTGATCGTATAAGCAGCAAAGATATAAGATTGTGCTACTCACTCAAAAAGATAGCCAGGTTCCGAATTAGTAGGATGCATCCTCAAAAAATCCACCAAAAACTCAACATTTCGGCGTTCATCACTAGAAAAATTTACTCGACAATTGTTAAAAAAGTGAGAAAATAGTGACTCACCTATTTCTGTAGATCGCTACATAGATTCGCTCTCTTATAGCCCCGGGCAGAAGTTTTCAAGATACATAAGGATCATTCCTATGTGGAACAATATATCAACATCCATGATATCCAAATACGAAATTCCCACTCTTTCATTACCGACCTGGTCACAATATCTGGAATAACTACCCACTGGTACGTTGATTCGAAAGTAATCATAATAAGCTAAATAGAGGTTCTGGGAACGTCAATTACTTGTGAATGTGGGATGGCGCCGCATTCTACCTCCATTCAGAATGGTCATGCCATATGAAAGCAAGAAGGCCTCAATGAATCGTGGGCCTTCCACCCTATTCGTTCGCACCAAAACCGACCTACAGAAGTATAACCTTGTACCCGTCTAAATAGCCAAGAGCATCTACATTGAAAACCCGGAACTTCTTTGAGTCCATTATCGGCACCAAAGTCAACATTATATACTAATGACCAAAAAATTTCACGGCAGGAACAAATAGACAAAATACAGGCTAATGGCGAACCTCATCGCCAAAGGGCTTAATGAATACTTCGATATGAATAAAGGAGGAGTATCACCCGAGTAAACTGAACCATGATTTAAATGACCATAAGAAACGGAAACTCACTCTTTTAAGCTACACAAGAAGTTGGCAAGTGCTTGAAAAAGCGCAGAAAATCGAGTGATTAGGTCACCATTGGCACTGTAGAAGCTGTCCTGTAACTCCTGAAAGACGGTTGATATAATTGAAAATATTTCAATAGATTCGATTCAAAAACTAAATAGAGCGGAATGGCAATCGTCCGCCAATTCTTAGATGAGTTCACCCCCACTGTGCTTTTCAGCGCCCAAAAGCTGCATCCATAGGTTTCGTAAGATGCTTCCCCAAACAAGAGGAGGATCCGTCCATAGTAAGGTACGCTCTCCTCGAAGACTCTCGGAGAGAGGCCACGCCCACCAATTCTCGGGGATATCTCCCAATTGACATGCAATCGGGAGATATCCCCGTGATTGACATGCAGGTCGGGAGACACCCCCGAGGACCGGTGGCATTGCCTTTCCCCGAGAGTTTTCGGGAACCACACCTCACCAGTGATGGCGTGCCTATCTTGAAACTTGAACACCTTCCACGGGTATAGAGGCTTAGTAACCATTTCAAAAAACTGTACGTACCTCGTTCTCCTCGATAATCTTTTCGCGTAGTGAGCTGTTCGAGTAAAGTAGTTGAAGTCAAGAATTAACAGCTTATATTTTGAAGATGACGGATCTAAGAAATCCGGCGGAACGAATCCAGCCAACCTTACGATCTCCGCAAGAATACAGTTTCGCCTCTTCTCGGACATTCATCAGAAAAGATTCGCTCGCTGTCGATGTCATTTTGGTTAGGCCAGGCATACCTAAATCAGCTGCGGTTCTGTACCCAACCCATCACAATGCGTTTAGTATCTTTGCGACAACGTTGAGTCCGTACGC